AAACCCCCTCTCCCTTTCAGACTGGAAGAGTCTTCTACGGGCTATACAGGAGATCTCTGGAAGTTTAGTCATAATTCCGCAAGGAACGCTCCTAGAAACTCTTGAACGTGTGTACGTCTCCACTTGTGAGAAGACAAAAACTGCAAACAATCACAATGAGGACGGTCTGTCTAAAGTCGTCGCGAAAATTGGTGCTAATTAATCCTGTCCCCGACGAATAGAAATGTCTAAAGTCTCACGATGCAAAAATACGTCTCGTACCTACTGCACAAATCTATCTGGATAGGGGATTTGCAAAAAAGGTTTCATTTTCAAGAGCAATTTCTATTTGGACAAATGGACCTATAAGTCAAAACTTTTTATGATTTTTTTTCGAGTCCTCCCAAATAAATGATTACGACAGGGGAATTCAATCTGTCGTGAAGAATGCGGAGACAACGTAGTATTTCAATAATAGTTGTCGTTTAAAAGTAAACGAATGTAGTATTTGGCATACCCGTCAAGTGTAACCTCATCCTCCAAGAGTGAGGGAAAAAAGGGCTGACATCTCTCGAGGTACCGTGCCAAATTGGCACAGACGTCTACGTGGGATTTTCTTCTAAGAATTGGCCCTCGATCGAGACTGGTTCACTGAGAGCGGCATTCTTCAGATAGTATGGAAATTAATTTCATCAATACATGACGCCATATAATAGCTAATTATCGTGTTTTGTTTCCGCGTTAGCTCCTGCTGCGGAATCATTTAACGTTCTGGCCGGTACATGATTACCCATGATACGGGCATGAGATCCCGGAGGAAAATCAGTTGCAGATGTGTGGTGGAACGAGGACGAGGACGAGGAAACGATCCGAGAAGCTACGTTTCCACATCCTTCTACGAGAAGGAGCAGCGAAGCTCTGAAACCCTCCTACTCGAAAATACAGGCCCGCGGACACGTAACGGATGACACCGCAGGTTCCATCAGGACCGCGAACACCTCGCTTTCCTTGGTTTTCCTCAAACGCACAATTGAGTACGACCTCGTTTCCGTTACAGCATCGACGTGACCGACCAGAAGCGACCCTGTTGCCAGGCAATGCTAACAGGGTGGCTTCATTCTCGTTCCCCCCGAAACATTTGGTGACATTGGTGCTGACTCGCTCCGACGACGACGATCGAAAGGATTAAAAAAAAGCTCATCCTCCCTGCCAATCGTCCCGTAATTCGAGGTAGCTTGGTATGGGCTTACCGTCGGGACTAATTGGCCCGGACTCAATAGTTAACTTCGGGAAGGGGGGGGGGGGGGGAGGGATATAACTCTGGGTGGGGGGGGGGGGGGGGGGGGGGGGGGGAATGGATATAACTCAATCACCACCTAAAGGTGGTGATTGAGTTGTGTCCAGATCTAGTGTGGTACCCATGATTTTATTGGTAGTCTTCCTGGACCAAAAGGGACTGGTAGAGCGCGAGATGCTACTGGGAGAATACTTTCCTAATGGTTCGAAAAGACCAGAAGGCTGGTTGACAAGAGCAAAGAAATTTCGACATTACAGTAATTACGTAAATTAGGTTAGTGAGGAGAGGGACGTCTGGTCTAAAACAATTTAGGTTAATTTGCACATTAAGATAGGTTGGCAAGAACAGATTGAAAAAAAAGGATGCTTTCAATTCACACTCTCTGGATTACATGCATTAAACTTTGATAATACTGTTAAGAATCACTGCGTAGTTACTGTATCTCACGGAATTAAATACCCTTATATTCAGCTTGACATATGTTTAGCATATACAGTAACATGCTTGCGAGGAGAGGGGACTCTCCTCAAGAAACACCTGCTTCATTGGGAGAATGAGGCTGGTGTTTCTTGACCCCTGGAGGCTAATATCGAAATACTAGTAATACAGCGGTACAGCACCGCACATGTCTGATTGGCCAGGCATGGATGACTTCACATTCGAGAGGAGCTAAGAAAAAGAACTGCAAATGGCGCACCCATAGGAACAGTATAGGCATGCGTGCTGCAATTGGAAGACTTAAGCTCGAATGACCTCCTTTAGTTAACGGTCCATACATGGAATCCTATGGGAATCCTTGTACTCTAGGACCGTTAACTAAAGGAGGTTTCAGCATTCATGTTACTTGCTGGTATCATGGCGGCTAGTCACCATTCACTTCTAGGGGATTTTCCCGAATTTTAAACCCAACTTTCTTCTAAATACTTACACGCAGCAAACAGCCTCGACACAGCAGGCGCAATAGGTCCTCAGAGGAGCCAATAGGCCCCATTGAGTCGTTCCAAGACTTCCTTCTATCATGCACATGGATCCAATATTGCAGTTTAGGCTAATCGCAGTAAAGGGTGATTGGGAATAGGTCATAGAATGCCGGCGATTCAAGTGCGAAGTGATTCATAGAGTTGGTAGCGGGCCAGTGGTGCGCATTGGCGGAGTAGCGGAGCAGGTGCCGCGGGTCATTCGAGCAGCCATACTGAATACGGAAGCATCCCATACCATGACCCGCCAACACCTCTACCATGCACCTCGTGGTCGCCCTTCGTCTCCATTAGCCTATGTTTGCCTTTGCACGTTCCCTCGAAGTTCGTTTGGCTTCAAGCTTTAGATCTGCTGTAAAATAGGTCGACTTTGATGAAACAAGGGCGGCGTAACGTTATAGCTTTCGTGGGCCCAGGAATCTCAGCAAAGGCAGGCCTGGAACTTGAGGCCCACTCAAAAAAAATTGGGGACTCGCATCCATAGAAGAAAAACCGTTCCGACCTCACGTTATCAGGTCTGTGAAACTTCCCCCTGAATTTTTTGGCCTCCAGTACCATAACTGTCTTTCATCGTGTTCACAGCAGCAAGAAAACTGGGAAAGGAAATTATGAAAATCCCATTGTAGCGAATGGAGAAGAGCCGCCATGATACCAACCACACAGGGCCGGATTAACCCATAGGCTAATAAGGCTATAGCCTTAGACCCTCATATTTTTAGGCCCTACTTTAGGCCCTAATTGTTAATTTGTTTGCAATACGTAATTTATACTTAGGCCCTTCCCTCCCATTAGCCTTAGGCCCCTCGTAACCTTAATCCGGGCTTGCAACCACATTGTATTGTGCGCTACCTCCAGTTCTTTCTCGTTGCTCAGTGACATCCTCACGTCATGCTTGCTTCGTTCAAGCCATGAGTGCTGCCATTACTATTTTGTGACGTCATTCGGCTGCGGCCAATCAGACGAGGGCTCTGCTGTGTCACTGTATTATTTCGAAATTAGCCCTCGGGAGGGCTGAAGCGGTCAGAAGGAATTATCCAGAGACAGCGAAGGACTGGTAGTGACAGATTTGAGACTGCAACGTAGAGAAAAGGGAGAGGAGAGATCAGTGTCAAACGTACAGGGATCCGCAACGGGTAGAACTCCAGGAGGAGTTTATAGAATCCGCAATATCCGATCTGGACGATTAGAACAAACTCAGTAACTTAAACTCTGGAATAGATTGACTGGATTAACTTTAACTCCGGATCGGTGTTGTAAAACTGCTCTGGTGACACTTGAAGAGAGGCACACCCCACCACACTGGTTGAGAACATCAGGCCCACGTGGCCTAAGTCAAAGAGATCTGATGATTTTTGAGAACTCACCACTCAAGCCGCAGATTCGAAGGTAGGGCCGAAGACTCTTCGAAGATGAAGTGGAGAAACGGTCGATACTCGAAGTTAAGTAAAGAAACTGCATCTTGCCAGAGACGAACACAGTCAAACCCGGAAGCAACTTCTCCAGCCTCTTCGATTCCATTAGTAGTAAGGGTTGCTCGATCGCCCGTGTGCTTTTCCTTCATCAGGGTATATATTTTGCCATGTCTCTTAAATACCCTGTTTTAAACCATTGATAACATATTCAGAACATAACCCTGAAATTAAACTTAACAGAATTCAAAATAAAATTTAAAACATATTCTTGAACAATGCTCTTGAACTTATGAATTTCACCAGTGACAATTGGAGACAGGGCAAATATGCCCGTGAAGAATACGAAAACCAAAATGGCAACATCCGTCATGCGATCACGGTTAGCATGCCTGCCCTGAACATCTACTAACAAAACTATTAGCCTACAATAACCCTTAGCCTACAATTTGGCCTTATCAGACCAGCTTTGCTTTGGTAGCTCTGGTTTATGATCAGATGGGTTGAGTCTGCGTGCCTGATGTCGTGCAGGGTGATCCCAAGGCAACTCGACCGACCTTCATGCCTGACTCTCGCTTCTCGTCACTGATGTTATAAAGTGTTTCCATCAGCCAATATGCTTCCACCTGCGTAGCTGCAAATGATCTACGTTGTGCTTTGGCGCATCTCAGTCCCCGTCGGTGAATTGGGAATCGGTATCTTGCAGTTTTGCCAAATATGCATCGCGCAGGTGCCAATGCGATTGCTGGTTCGTAATTGATTAACTCTTGCTTTGGCCGTTTGAATATTTCAGGGAGGACTTCGAGACTGATCGCCATTGTAGGAGGGAAAAGGCGGAGAAAGGGGAATGCCCTTTCGAAATAGGTCGTCTTCGGACCGCCGTGTTGAATTCCCGTATTTCGCTGAAATCTATTTTTCCTCATGAAAAAATAATGCCTAAATTTCTGATACATTTTTAATGGCTTCTTCTGCCTCCAAATGGATATTGATAATTTTTTCATGATATTTTCCTTCTATGTTCATAATTCAAAGTCAAGGAAAGAGATTCTAACTTTAGAGTTAAATAAATAAAAGCCATCCACCTACAATCTAGATGATTCCTTCGAGAAAATCCAGCTCCAAGCTCATTTTTTTGCAACAACCCAAGTTCCTTCACACCCTTTCACGACCGGTATAACCCAATTTTCGTGAGCCGTGACGAGGGAGAGAGGGGGAATCCCCCTCGTGTCTTTCTTCCTCTCCCTTTTGGCACGCACAGCGACGTCGCTAAAATTGGAACCCCGTGCAAATACCCCCTGCAAATACCCACGCACCCACCCGACTTCCCACATTCGCTCGCCCGACTCCGAGCCGAGAGCCAAGTTTCTTTCTTCCCCTTTGCTAGTTTGTTTAGCGAACTCATTCGAAGCCCTTCCGCGAGTCCGCACGCGAGTCCACATCCCGCCACATTCCGCCCCCTCTCGGCAGATGGCCCTGGTGCTCCTGCCGTGCGACCTGCCGTCCTGGCAGAGCACCCTGAGGCACCTCCAGGACCTGAAGCACTGCCGGGACACCTCCAACGCCGTGGAACTCATGAAGAAGATCTACTCCATCAGCTGGTCTGTCTTCGTCTGTCCTTGTCTGTCTGTCGGTCATCGTCTGTCTCATTCGCGTGTGCCGTCGGTCCTTCCACATCGTTTCCGTAATTCCTCTGGATTTCTATATTTACTCTAGAATTTTCAGACATATCTTGAGTCACTCGTTTTAGGTATTAGGACAGGCGCTTCTCTGCCAGAATTTCGCTGTGGAATTTTTATTTATTATCCAAGTGGATGGTGCACATTAAATCCGTTTCACAGACCCAATTTAAACACGTGGGGCTTTCCTCGGAAACTCGCCTGAGGCCAAAACGACGCCTAGTGCAGGAAAGTACCGCAGTGTAATGTGCAAGGTTGTCGGCATTCGTGTGGGACTGTCTCGCCGCCTGTTTGTGGAGTTGGGCGGATGCCACACGGCACCAGGTGGTTGCATAGCTCTTAGGATACACACAGCATGCTCCGAGTTTAAAAAATAAATAGTACTTATTGCATGGACATCGGACATGTTTGGCAAATCATTACAGAACATTGTGAAATAACGCACTACAACAGCAGCTCGAAATGCCTGCAATGTAAAGCACTCTTCACGTGCATCCGTCCTTAGAAGTTTGCTTCTCGGAACGATCTAATTAGCTCATTTTCTCGAGGCTTCATTGCGACTCGAAGCGATGCAACCAGATGAGCCTCGTGGGACCCACAAAGCCAGGCGGTTCAGAATTCGAAAGACGGTGCAGTTTCGGGAATTCCGGTTTCGCTAGAAACGCTTCCCGCTTCGGTCTCGAATGATGCAAGATAATTTATCCATTGCCAAAACGTGATAATTATGGCCCACGAGTTGATACATTGCTTGATAATTGGTTCGAGCGAGTGCCGAGTCATCCTCACGGGGCGGATCCATTCGAGTGCCAATCCGCCTCATAATCCATCCATTTCTCTTCCAATAAGTTTATTATTATTATAAATTAATTTATTAAAAAAAAAAGATGCACAAGAACCCGATGCGAAGAGGCAGCATCCCTGGCAGCATCCCCGCATCCTCGATGATGGACGGGACAGGAAACGGACGAAGCAGGGAAGGAGCCAAATGCGTTCGCCCCTTCGACGTTTGCCCTGGTAAATGTCGTGTGAAGCGTAACGCGGCATTCGTTCTCTCCTTCGATCGATCCACTTCTCGGTGGTTTCTTCATGCTCGAACGAACAGACGAGTGCTTTCTGACAGATAATGTCCCACAAAATGCCCATGCGCCGAGTAGAAAGTCCCGTGGATGATCTCAACTGACATCCACTTTCTGCAGTTTCATTGACATTTCTTTTTTTTTTAATTCATATTTTAATTTCCACCACGAGATTGACATTTTCACATAATGGCAAGCGTGGAACCGCGCAAACATATGGCGCGATCGGTTTATTAAGTGCTAAATCAACTGACAGCCGATCTGCTGCCATCTGATTAATCCCTGCTGCATAAATTAGCGTCTTCCGATCTCGTGACCGTTCACGTCTCCCTCTACCCAGCGTGAGCCTGGACCCGGAGGACAACGAAGCGGAGGAAATGAACAGCTTCGAAGTCCTGAAGCGATACCTCAAGTCCCTGCCGGGCGAGGAGGAGCGGCGGTTCGTGGAGCGGATCCTCCCGGCCATGGCCGAGCACGCCCTCAGGCTCAAGGAGCGGAAGCCCCCGTTTGGACTCCGGTACAGCCTGCAGCAGCACGGTGAGGCGCCTGCGATCGGGCTTCGGATTCCTGGCACTTGTGTGGAACCCGTTTTAAGGGGAGTGAAGGGGGTTATCAGGTGCAAAGCAATGTAAAAGCACGAAATTCCTCATGCAATCCAGTCAAAAAGAAAAAAAAATTTCCAGGACCAAAAAGGTTCTATTCGCCCTGATCACTCTGTCTGACAGAATGATCAGGTCGATATTCGGTCCACGTTCGGTCCCTATAGTCAACGACTTCATTAACCTGATGGTAATGAGGTGGGTGAGGAAGTGTGAAGCCTAGAAGACCTGGCTCCATGTGAGATAATTCCTCCCGGAATCCTAGGGTCATTAAGGGTTCATGAAGATACATTTTATTTTGAAAACAGCCATTCCCTTCTTTCAGGAAGTTCGCATCATGAGCATGAATGATGGAATTTTCAAAAAATTAAATTTCATGTTAATTTATGCGATATTATTGCTGTATGACATCAGTTCTATTAAATTATTGTTACAATATATTTCACATATAATATTATTATGTATCATGTTGAATAATGGCAGATGAGAGCATCGAGGTGGACCGCCGATTCCTGGTCTCCATCCTGGCGGCGTGCTTCTTCTCGTGCTTCCCGAAGCGGACCCCCAAGACCCATCCGACCCTGCAGGACTGCAACTTCGCCCCGTTCTTCAGGCATCTGGACTGGTAGCGTCGCAGGAACTCTTCGAGTCACGGATGCCAGATTTCGAGTTTATTCCTGTCGCGGGTCAGTTCATTCCAGCAGGTGAAGCTGCGGTGCGTCCTGGCGCTTTTCGACGACATCTGCTTCAGAGAGCCGCCCGGGTCCCTCACATTCCACAGACAGGTTGCGTTCCGTTTCTCGAGATGCTTTTCAGGGTTGCCAGATCGACTCACAGCGTCCACCCGCAGGTGATGCCGGTCCGAGAGCATCTGAGCATCGAGGACTGGGAGTCGAGCGGCGACGCCCTCTGCCCTCTGATCGTCCGAAACCAGGGTCAGATCGAGTCGGCCGAGAGCATCGCGGTGCAGACGGTCTTCGGCAGCCCTGGCATCGGGGGCAGGGTGCTCTTCGATGCTGCCAATCAGGTCTGGCTGGACTTTTGGTCCGCTTTGTGGGTGAGATTCATTGTGAAGGTGTTTGGGGCGAGATTCGATGAAGAAACAAATGAGACAAATGTTGAAGCTTGAAATGCACCAGCTGGAGAAATGGGACCTGGAAAATGGATGCCTGGCGGAAAGTGAATTATTGTAGTGGAGTGGCTCCTCTCATTCTCCCGGATTATCCGGGATTATCCCGCAAGGGTATCGATTAACGCGGCTGGCGGCAATTATTAATGTCGTAGTTTTCGCGAAAGACTGATTCTAGCGAAGAGGGTTCAGAATAACTTTCCCGTCTCGTCATCTGCCTTTAAATCATGGAACAAGATATAGTCTTTTAGTTGGATTCCTTTCCAAAAAAAAAAATACAACTTACGCAGTTCCGCCCTGTCTGCGAGTATCCGTTTGCGCTTGCACACTTCAACTCCGACAATGAGTGAGAAGATAGTTCTTTATTTGCTGGGAAACTTGGCATGTGGAGGCACATAGGCATACACAGGTTGCTTTCGTGCCAATAAAAAAAAGCTGATTTTCAGTTAGTGCACGCATTGGCATCGGATGTCACTGGTCGGGAAGAGCCGAATTTCGGGCAATCACCTCCATCCGTTCTCCATCTCTCCATCCGTTCTCCACCTCTCCGTCCGTTCTCCACCTCTCCACCGACTCTCCACCTCTCCACTCATTCTCCACCTTTCCACTCATTCTCGACCACTCCAACGCCATAATATGATTGCATATGATTGTTGAACGTGGGAGTGAAAAGAAGCCCACCGTTTGCGTTAGGCGGTTCCTTACTGAACGGTGCCGGTTCAGCGTATTGAATATCTATTAATAATACCGCCGGTTCCACGAGACGGATCGCGTACTTTATGTTTAATTGGATCTAATGAGATTAATAATAAAAAAGTATATGAATTATTTTAAAGGTAAAATGTAACATCTTTATGTAAGACGACAAACGATATCTTTTTAGCCAGTCATTCGATTACCCTCTGCAGGAATCGACAGCGTTCGTGACTCAGCCGGAGCTGCTGGCCTCGCTGTGCTTCGTGGAGAACCTGGAGGACAACGAGGCCATGGTCGTGGTGGGGTTCCAGCCCTCCTCCACCATCTACTGGGATCCGTACGAGGGGAAGTGGGAGCAGTGCCCCCGGCAGCCCGTCCCTGTGCGTCTGATGGTCTATGGTGGGGAGGTGGAGAACGGACGGAGAGGTGGAGAACGGATGGAGAGATGGAGAACGGATGGAGGTGATTGCCCGAAATTCGGCTCTTCCCGTGGGGGGGGGGGGGGGGGGTTGGAGGGTTCGGTTAAAGACAGTCTCATGGGTCATGGGGAAATATGTATTACATTATAGTGGGGGTGGTTGTCGGTCTCACAAATATTTAATTTAAAAAATAATTTCTATTTGCATATTCATTGCATTTTGTCGAGACGCAGCTCACAGATTACGAACACCCACAGGCGGACGAAGAAACCCCCCCGCTGCAGCTGTCCATCATCGACGCCGAAGACTTCAGCGAATGCCCCCTGAGCCAATACGAGGACATCTGGATCCTCCGGGAGCTGAACAAGGCGCTGACGGGGTTCCAGCAGTCTCCGGTCGTCCGGCGCCTGCCCCCGATCGGGCAGAGCCGGTCCAGCTCCCCCGAGACGAAGCCCTCCCCCGAGCCGCCGCCTTGCATTCTCCTTCCGTCCAGGAACAGCAGGTTAAGTCCCGTTTTGTCCGTTGAGGTTGTTGTTGGAAAGAGTCGGGTTTGTGGGTGGTCAGTTTGAAAATGACACTTGTCATCCACCCGTTCGTGAGGCGTAACTGAGTGAAGTTCGACTAGAAAAAGTAACAGATTAATGCTGAAATTGCCTCATGAAAATATTTTTTTTGCATCAATAATAGAAATAAAAAACAACAATTAAATTAGGTGACGCTCTCTTCAGAATAAATAATAGACAAGAGCGATACCTAGTGTTTACGAATCATGACTGTGCTAACCGAGGCTCCCGTGCACGTCTGAGCAGGGGAAGCCGGCTGATAAAAATGGAGTCGGTTGGATCCGACAAGGACCGAGAGACCCTGAACGTCCTGCGCCCCTCCGCCAGCACGAGCTCGGGCCTCAGCGAGAGGACGGTCGTGGACAGCGAGGTCACCCTCGGCGACGCGGACCCGGAGGAGGTGGACCGATCGAGCGAGGAGGACTACGTGTTCACCTTGCCTCGGCCTTGGGACGAAGCCGGGTTCAGCCAGTACGAGACGTGCGGGAGCTCCGACTCCCCCGAGTACGTGAGCGCGCATGGGAGCTTCGAAGAGGACGAGCCGCCTCGCGAGGACCCGAAGAGAGGGAAGAAGCGGAGGAGGGGGACGTTCGCGGAGCGGCTCGAGGAGGCGCTCTTGAGGGAGGCGGGGGAAGTGGAGCGACCCGAGCCGGTGGAGAATCCTCATCGGTGAGTTGAGTTCCGTTGCGGGGAGGGATTTCTCGCGGCTCGCGACGTGACGTCGGTCGGTTCTCCGACTGGAATTAATTAGCACAAACTTCAGAGACTATCTTTTGGAACGAGAGTCTTGCCCGGAAGCGAGAGAAACGATACGTTTGATGTGATGACGTTGGTCTCGTCTATTTCCAATTGGTTCCCTAGTGGCAATATGCCTATAGCAAGAGCTAATAGTAATCCTTAGGGCAAGTTCTCATGATTATGCGAAGTGCCTGAAGGAAAGAATTGTCGACTGTCCATCGATAAAAAAAATTCTGATTCGGCGGAAGCCGATTTTCTTCCTTGACAATTTGAGCTGCTTTTGAGGCTCCCTGTGTTTCGGCACGCAGTACCCCAAATGCTGCACGCGTTGTTTAAGAGGCAGTTGAATGGGGACAGTTGAAATGGGACAGGGTGAATGGAGACGGCGCGACGCGGATTAACGGCGTCATTCGTGGCTTTCCCGAGGTTCGTATTTCTGTCTCTGGAACCTACCTGAAGCCCGCGATGGAATTCCCCTTGGCTGGATTTCCGGATCCGTAGGTGAAAGGGGTGGGGGGGGGGGGGGGGGGGGGGGGGGGGGGGGGGG